TGCAACAGGGCTCTGAGGTCGACAGCTCAGCAGTGTGGAGCTGCAGGGAGAGGCTGTCGCTGCTCAGCCTCACACACATTATGGAGACTAATGATCAAAAGGAGGAGCTCCCCCTGCTCTGGAGGTTCCTGCAGAAGGTGTGTGTCACACAGATGTAAAGCTTTCACAAAATTATTTGGAATTCACTGCTCTTGTGCATTTCAAACAATCCTGAAATTTTCCTTTTGTGCAACCTTTATGTAACACCCGCCCCACGTTCTATTGAGAGGGGTCTTTACTACTGATACTCCCTTTTTGATGTTTGTGACATGAATTGTGCAATAAAATAGACTATATGGAAATAAACCAGACACAAGCAGGTCAATTATAAAATACTTCTAAAAGGCAAAAGAAAATAAGTAACATTAATAAAGTTGTCGAGCAATGGTTAGGTATCTAATATCAACTGTAACCAAATGATTAAATAATATGGTGGGTCACACTGATCGTCAACCTGAAAATAAAAGTTTGTCACCTTCCCATGAACTCTGCGTCCACATGACACTGTTCCTCATCTCTCCTCTCTCTTTCCACGGAGTGAACACGGCTCCCCACTTACTCCAACCCACTCTACCTGAGACTACTTCAGGATTGGCCGGGAACTGTAGTACATACCAATACCATTACAGAAAATACTGACAAACACCTCAAAATGCAAATAAGAACGCTGTGCATCTAATTAACACACATTTGTATTCATTCTTAAACACACATAACATTTACATTCAACCATCAAAATAAATGAACTATTTATATAGCCAGGGCTACATTTAGACTAAATGTCAAATTTGTCCTTATATATTATGACTTTTGATTTTTCTGTAGTTGAGCTCTTTCACTGCTTTGATTTCTTTTTTCCAATTTGAATCCCATTATTCATAATAGTGTTGTTTCTAAAACTATTTTAGAAATATTATTGATTATTACTATTATTTCCTGTGTGCACTAAAAGTTTTACTTATAGAGGGTCACCAGTATCTAACACTGATAGAAAGGTGGGGTCAGTTCTGGGCAGTTCACAATCCAATCACAGGGCTGACATGTAGCTTCACTTCAGACTACAAGTCCAAATTGGCACGTAAAGACATGCAATCATTTGTGCCTGCTGCTAATTTGGAATTACAGATTAGCCAAACCTGTGAAATCTATAGACTTGATTAAACTACAGTATTACTTTGCAACACGTATTATCCTGATATTCTATATATAAAATCATGATAAATTACTCTTTAAAGTTTCAATAAGTGGGTCAATATTCTCAGTAATAGAATTAGAAATGACCAAAGATGTGATACCCATTTATCTAAACTTCTTTTTACAGGAAAGAGAATTTCGACATATCAAATTCCTCCCAGAAATCCTAATGCTGCAGAAACGTTTGGTGAGAAAGTACCAGAACGCAACTGAAGAGATCGCAGGTTCCATCAGAGAATTCATTGATCAGCAAACAGGTAAAGAGATTAGATGGACTTAAACTTTGTCTTTTTCTGAAAATATGAACAATTGACTGTTGTACTAATTTGTATTAATTTGAAAATTAAAAAACAAAATCTATCACCAAAGTTAATATTTGCTGCAGGGACAACTGACATATTTTTTTCATGTCATAAAAATGTAGTCACTGTTTCTTTGCCTTTTTGTCTTTTTTTAAAAAAATTTAGTCACTGTTTCTAAATTACTTGTTCCAGACATGAGCCCATGGTATCAAAAACACATTGAGACCTTCCTGAAAACATGGAATGAGCTAAGAGTCTCTGTGACCGGCAGTAAGTAAAGCACTAACCTGCTCTTTGTCTCACCTTCACATTCAATCTGTTTATGTTATTACATATTTTCTTGTCTCTCCTTAAATTATTTTGTTCTGTGCATTGTGTTCAAATTAAAAAGATAAATAAATGAATAACATGTCTTCAATTTAACTTAAAATGAGAACAGTGCAGTTCTTGATTGATTTCAGTTGCCCTGTGAGAACATACATTTACAGTGTACTCTACATGACAATAGTCATCATTTTGTCTGCTACAGTCGAGTATAATAATTGGTGTTTTTGTGCATAGACCACATAAGTCAAAGTAATGGAAAAAGCTGCATTGCAAATAAGAAATTATTTATCTGTCCTTTCAAAACTATAGATGAAATAAAAATTCCAGAAGAATTTTGCAGCAGAGATTTGGACCTGGACAGTAACCTCAGGTACCTCCTGCCCCGTCGGCAGGGTCCAGGCCTGTGTGCCACAGGGCTGGTCAGCTATCTGGTGACTCTCCACAATGAGTTGGTGAATGCAGTGGACCGTCACACAGGAGAGGACAACAGGTACTTTTTTAAAGCAGTTTAGTCTGCATTTTTTTTCTACCTATCTATTTTCTACCTGAAGTTCAAGTGAAACTTCAATAGTCTTAAGTTAGGTGAGTCAAATGAGCGTGACATAGAAACACAGAGCCACATAACCAATTACTGAGTCGATGCTATTGATATATTATATATTGTAAATATAATACAGTTCAGTTTTGCTCAACAAACATTTTTCTTCATTCTAGACCAACATTTAACCAAAATTATTTGGAAAAGAAATGTTGGAAGATTAAAGTTTATATCTACATTGTGATGTCTGCAGTAACTACACAGTGAGTCTGTCGGAGCTAATGGAGCAGCATGTGATCAGCTATGATGTGGAGAAGGATCTGTTTCCTCTGGTTTTGTCCAACTGCCAGTACAGCTTGGAACGTGGCCACGAGACAATATCTGAGTATGACCTGCCCAGGATCCAACAGCAGATCCTCACCCGCTTTCTGCAGGGAAAACCTCTCATTACCCGCGCAGTGAGTCCCCACAGCCTGGTTTGGTTAAAACATGTGTCCCACACCTTAAATGACCCAAATTCCTAACTACTGTACGATCTGGTGTTGACTGGATTGTGCATTACCTTCGGGGATCTTTCAAGCTCGGAATGAATCTTTGAAGGTGGTCATGCAACACCCTTGGTGTATATTTATTTGTTTTTATTTTTTGCATGATTCAACATAGTGAAATCTAAAAAGCACAAAGGAGAAGGAAGTTCACTTTAAACTTCTGTCATAACAGATGGCCGGGGGCAAGCTGAAGCTGAACTAAAAACAATACAAACACAAGCAAGACTAAGCTATTATTGTTTATTCCACATTTTTATCACAGGAATTGCTACAGCATGTAGATGTGGGTGTAAAGACCTCTGTGCAGCACATTGTTAAACAAACAAATAGTGTAATCAAATGTGTAGACCACTTCACTACAGAGATTTCATTTATTGTGTTGGTTAACTTCATCATTTGAGTTCTCATATTGTATCTGTTCTGTGTGGTCAGACTTATTTTGCAGTAATATCTATGTGTTTATATTGATTCACCACTTTTGAAATCCAAGCTCAAAACCATTCTGTTTAAAACTGCTTTTTTTGTGATCCCTAAACCAAACCCCTTCACTAAACCCCCTGTTTTTTATTAAGGGAATTCCCACATTGGTCAACACGCAAGAGAGGGACTATGAAACCATTTTCAAAACTGTTCATGGAAAAGTGCCACAGGTACAGTACTGCGTTAGCAAGTTATCACTACACTTTGATGTACTTTACAACTCTACATGATTATAGCTGTCTATGTGTAAAACCCAAAATACATATTTAAGGTACAAAATTTCCAGGTTAAACAACACATTTTTTTTTCACTTTGTTTGTGCTGAGTCAATAACTAACAGTACCAGTTAACAGCAAAAGCACTGACACATGATATGTGGACTTTAGATAGTAATTGATTATTACAGTTATACCAGATTCAATTCTTGTTTTTCACCAAATCACAGATTTATTTCAGGCCTAATAGTTACAGCAAATAAAGCAACACTCCTGACATTCATCCAGCTGTATTTGACTTAAAAGTACTTACTCAAGCTTTACATTTGATATTTATGTACATGTGCATGCACACAGCAATAAAGGGATTTACATAACTTGTGTCTTTTAGGTTCACTAATATTTTTGTTTCTCTATTAGAATGTTCTGACATCTATGGCACAGAATACTGTGTCCAGACAGCTGGACTCCTACAGTGAGGTGTGCGAGGCGCTCCAGATTGTGGAGCTGCTTCTGGGTTTTCTCTCAATGACGGGTGGTGATCCCACAATGAAACTGGTCTCTTACCTTCAGGAAATACTAAAGATGGACCAAAACATTGATCATCACATACTGAAGGTCATTACATGTACACTCTTTCACTCTGAGTCTGACATGTCAAACATCAATATTAATAATAAGACAAAAACCAGATAGAACAAACTGTTTATAAGTTGTTGAGGGGTTTTCACTTTTTTGCAGGCTTTTAGCAAATGTGAACTGCAGCACTGTGTTTGTCTGTGGCAAGTCCTGTCCTCTCTCAGCTCTGAAAAAATGCTGCAACTCAAAAGAGTAAGTTTGATTTTTGCTGTATTTTTTTTTTCAGATTCAAAATTGCCAGATTAAACATCATATGCTTATTTTTCACTAAGCATAGATAAATATTAAGTTTTGAAGCTTAACTTCAGTGTTAGATTAAATGAATGTGGCTTGTACTAAAAAAAAAGCACTAAATGGTCAGTATGACCATTAACCATATATGCCAATCCATCTACCATATACATACAAAATGCATGACTGCATGTCTTGTTAAAAAGGAGCCCTTTTCGGGGTATCCAGCCGAGTACCAGGTGCCACTGACTGAGGATAACAAGACTGAGCTGAAAGGATTCATGTCCAGAGGAAATGTGGACCAGTGGCTGCTTGAGATGCACGAGTTCCTCTTGTTGCGCCTGGGCCGCCCACGAGCAACTGAGGACTACAATCCTAAATTATGGAGGTAAAGCTGTTGTATAGTACCAGATTTTTGTTTGGTAATGCCATTGTTCTGTTTGGCCCTGATTTAGCAGGTGTGAAGAGAGATTTACATCCTAAACCTCAAAGTCACTGCAGATGATCCTGTGTAGCCAAAATATGGATATATAAGAGTGATCTCAGAGATGCAAAGATATGCATAAAGTTATAGATTAGTCAGAATGAAACAAAAGATTTTCATCTAAGTATTAAAAACTTTAAATTATTTATATTTAAAACTGTGTTAGTTTGTCTAATTAATTTTCAATTAAGTCTCTGAAAATGTGTGACTGTGTATAAAAATGACTGTAATTCCTAAACAGTTCAAAAAAAATCTGCACTTCCATCACGTCTTAAATTTTTCATTTAAAATCAACTGCAATGGCGTACAGAGGCAAAGCTCTCTTAAAAAGGTCTTTGTCCAATTACTTTTGAGTTTTTATGCATATTTTATTCCACATCACTATAGTGCCCCATCAAGTGTGTCTTTATTATAATATGTTTTTAGTTTTCCTGCTAAGTAAAAAATTATTTGCTCCAATGTAAAGTTATCTATTAAATGAATATTTTCTTTCTTTTGACAGTCTGAAGGAGGCGGTCAGTGCCTACATGGATCGTAAAGAAGTAGAAGTCCATCCTTATGTGGAGGAAAACCTTCATGAAAATCTGAAGCTGTCTCAGATAATTGAGACCTGGAAATACACCATCACAGCCAAACAGGAGTTGATGAATGAGTGATCAACTGAATGAGTGCATAGAGAGATATTAGTTATCTAAAGAAGTAAACAAAGGTATTTTTTCTGCATTTATTGATGTAGTAATCATAGGATGTGTTGTGCTGTT